AAGATCACCCCCAAGCGCCACCTCAGTTTCTTCACTTCCTAGTTGTGTGACCTTGTCCATAGTAGCCTGTCTGTGCCTTGTCTTCCTCATCTGCAGAATGGGTACAGAAATGTCACCAATATTGAAAGGCTGTTAAAGGTTAGTGAGTAAGCTGACTCATACACAGCTCTTAGCACTGCCTGGCAAAGGGACACTCAGTTGCTATTGTCGTCGTCATCATCATCATCATCATCATCATCATCATCATCAATTTTCTTTCAGATCTTTAAAAAATATTCTTAAGTGACGCTTGTGTGCTGGATACTCTTCTACAATCTCAGGAAATAGAAGTGAACTAAATAGACAAAGTCCCTACGCTCAAGGACATTCTTATGTAATCAAGTATAGTGGTTTTGATTTTTCAAGAATCTCAGGTGTTCTGAATTTTGTAGGTATAAGATAATATCATCAGCAAAAAGATTATTCTTACATTTCTCATTTTCTACGTACACTGCTTATTTTACTTTTTTGACTTATTGCGTCAATAAAACCATGCACGCAATATTGCAAATGACACCATGACTAGGTATTTACTTAATTAAAATATTCTAGGATTGTATTTTATTTTTCATTTAATATTTTAGACTTTGCTTATTAATTTTTTTTTTTGTCTTTTTCCGTGTCCGGCAACGGGATCGCAACCCTCGGTGTTGCTCCTGCGCCTCGCTCAGCCAGTGAGTGGGAACCGGTCTGTATGTGGGATCCGAACCCTCGGCAGGAGCGCCACCACGCTCCCAAGTGGCGCACTGTAGCAGTGCGCCACCGGGCCGGCCCCTTAATTTTTAGTTAATAATCAATCGTATGTTAATCATGTCTTTATCTTTCTCTCTCACTAAAGGTTTCAATGATAAAGCTGCTGATTTTTATCAAATACATCTGAACATCTATTTATATGACCAAGTGGGTTTTCTCCTTTTTAAAAATTGATGTAATAGATTATATTGACAGTTTTATGATATTAAACCACTCTGGCGTGGCTGGAGTCATACTCAAATTATTTCGATGCATTGCTGTATGCTTTTTGGTGGTTTTAGTTTACAGTTCTTTTTTGCGTTCATATTCATAAGTAAATTTGGAGCGCACCGTATTTGGTTCTGAGTTATTAGAATCTCAGCTTCTTTATGTTAGGTTCTCGTTTATATGCATACACTGCATACGCCACAGTTAGTTCATTCATTCACTCACCTGTTGGTAGGTACTTGGGATGTTCCTGAAGTTTGGCAATTATGAACACTTCTGCCGTAAATATTCGTGTACGAGTCTATTTCTGGACACACAATTTCATTTCTTTTCTTTCTTTTTTTTTTTTTTTTGTCTTTTTGTCTTTTTCCGTGTCCGGCAACGGATTGCAACCCTCAGTGTTGCCCCCGTACCGGACCGGGGACCGGCAATGGGACTGCAACCCTCGGCGCT